GGTGCTCCTAAAGCAGTGTTTCTCAACCTTGACAATTTTAAGGCATGTGGACTTCAACTCCCAAAATTCCACAGCCAGCATTGCTGGCTGTGGAATTCTGGGAATTGAAGTCCACATGCCTTAAAATTGTCAAGGTTGAGAAACACTGTCCTAAAGGCTTTTTCTTTCTCTGTTTTGGGGGTGGGTGAGTTGCTTCAATGTTGTTGCTATTGCTTGAACCACTCTTTATACATACGAAAAATAAGACATTAATAACCCTGCCCCAAGCCAGCCATTGTCTGGGAAGTCATTGTGCAAATTTCCTTGTTTGGTCCAGCCAATGGACTTGTATCTTTACACTAAAAGCAGCAAAGAATCCCTGCTAAGGCAGGGGAGCAGCTACTTTTCAGGATTTTTGAGTGGAGATTTATTAAGGCCGAAGTGTCTCCCAGCTCAATCTAAGCATTTCATCCTGACCTTGCAGCGCATGAAATGGTTTACATTGCCTCACCTCAAAGGCAACCCTGATAGAGAATTAACAATAGGGATACAAATGTGGAAACAAATGATAAATGACTTTTGGGCGTAGCTTTGGCTGGCTATCTTTGTTCGGGAGAAGATTATTGCTGCTAAATAAAGAGATGGAAAGTCAGTCTTGGAGAAGCATCTGGTGACCGTGCCTATATGCAAGAAATGTCCCTGTCCTTGCAACATATATCTTTTTTTTTTCATTAAAAATATTTACAAAGTAAGCAAGTAAAGTTTGCTTCTAACACCGTTGATGGTACACATGATTTCTTTCAGAGTTCTTGGAGAAAGAGCTTCTCATTATTAACTAGATTTTAAAATACTTTTGCCTGCAGATGTTGCACTGCGGTAAGTACATTGGAGCCAGAATGGACTTGTAGTAAATCCCAATGAGTCTAATAGTAAAGCAGGCTTATACGAGTGATCTTGGTATTACTTAGCTTTGGCCACACCCAATGGGTTTTGCCCAATTTGGTTACTGGTGGTTACTGGTGGAGACTGGGTTTTTTTTTTCTTTCGTTTATGAGTTCTAGATCAGGGATCTTCAAACTTGGCCCTTTTATGACTTGTGGATTTCAACTCCCAGAATTCCTCAGCCAGCCAGAGTTGAAGTCCACAAGTCATAAAAGGGCCAAGTTTGAAGACCCCTGTTCTAGATAATGATTTCAGACACACCCAACTCTTTATTCAATATTTTAATATTAAATCTTTGGACACAATTGACAGGCCACGTATCTGGTAAAAGTCCCCTTGACATTAGCTTGTACTGTACTGAAGGGTTGCAGTTCAATAGCATGGTCACGGCTACACAAAAGCGTCTGAAGAGCCCTTTTTGATATACCTGGAAAAAGTCTTCTCTAAAACTTTGCATGCCTATTTGTCGTTATTCCAGACAACACTTGGCTTAGAGGCAACAACAAGCCTGTTGGTTTCTCAAGCCGCTTCCAGCATAAAAGGATTGGAGGAGCCCCAGTGCTCATCTTTACTTATGATACAATCATTGGCAATTCCCTCCCTCCCATCCAGGTCATAGCACAGAAGCGCTGCTTGAGCAGGGACCATAAGATTATCTGGGAGACTATACATCCTCTTCATGACCTGTTTTCCTTGTTACCTTCTGGGAGGAGGCTTCGTGGTGTCCGTAGCAGAACATTCAGATTCAGCCATAGTTTCATTCCATACAGCATTAACCTTGAACTCTCAAGCTTCCTCCTTCGGTTATATATTCAAGATGGACAATATTTAATATGTATTTGCTACGTATATGTAGGGATGTGGGTCTATACATATATTGTTCATAGTATGTCTATGTGTGCGTCATGTATGTGTTTCACTTTGAGAGCGGGCAACTAAATTTCATTTTTGATGTGTGCCATTGTGCCCACAGAAAAAAAATGACAATAAAGGTTATCTATCTTATATTTGATTGATTGATTGAATGAATATTATGTGCTATCAAGTGGCATTGATTCTTAACAATCACATAAATTTTCTTCTGCACCTAAATTGCAGCTTTTCCAGTGATGCTATTGTTCCTACTGTAATTAAATCTATCTATCCTGCTGCTAGTTCTCATGATCTTCTATTTCCTTCCACCTTTCCCAACATGAGAATTTTTTTCCCCTGAGAGCTAAGTCTCCGCATAATGAGGAACATATCTGGTCTCTTCCAAACTGTTCCTTGAATAATTTCTGAAGTCTTGATATCATTTTAGAGACTGTAATATTAGCCTTGATGGGAGTGTGACTAGTGGGCTTACTTGTGCAGTTGGTTAGCCATTGTGAAAACAGACTGCTGAACTACATGGGTCAGGAGTCCCTTCCCAACAGTGTTCACCTTATCCTCATATGTTCAGACAATCAGTATAATTTCCCAGGTTTGGAAACAACGCTTCAGACAATTTTAAAATATTATATTAATAGGCTGTGAAAATTGAACCATAAGAAAGTCTGAGTGCCAAAGAATTGAGGCCTTTGAACTATGGTTCTGGAGAAGACTCCTGCGAGTCCCCTGGACTGCAAGGCGATCAAACTGGTCAGTCCTAGAGGAGATCAACCCTGACTGCTCTTTAGGAGGCCAGATCCTGAAGTTGAAACTCAAGTACTTTGACCACCTAATGATAAGAAAGGACTCACTGGAGCCTAATGCTGGGAAAGATTGAAGGCAATAGAAGAAGGGGACGACAGAAAATGAGGTGGCTGGATGGAGTCACTGAAGCAGTAGGCATGAGCTTAAGTGGACTCCAGAAGATGGTAGAGGAGGGCCTGGAGGAATGTTGTCCATGGGGTCACGATGGGTCGGATACGACTTCGCAACTAACAACAGCAACAACAAAAACATCATGTTCATTCCATTTTTTCCCCATCCACACTTATATTTACACACTTTGCCTTTGCATTATGAACATTCCTCTTCTTATTCCAAACGTTACTTTGGGGTGGGTGATGGAGATCACTTTCTAACAAATTTTAGTGTAGTCTCCTCTTTGAGGGAAAAAGAAAACAAATCAACACGAGCCAAAGAAATAATCAGGGTTTTGTTAATTAAATTATGTTAACTAATGAACAACAGTTGCACAGAATTCATGTTCTAACTGTTCCATCTGAATAAAGGGGCCACGTCAACTTTGTATTTAGTGCACCTTTATCAAAGGTCATCTCACTGATTCGTCTTTAATTCCACTAGATGGCGTATTTACGAAAACAAAACAAAGAAATCACTTCTCGGAATCATCTGAACAAACTTTACAGCTCATCTTATGCTCTTTGAAAGTTTTTTTTTAAATTTTAATTTCAGGTGTGATGTTAAACACAAAGTTTGATCACTAGTTTGCAGGCAAAAGATTCCCCCCCCCACGCACAGTACCAAAATATGATAGCTTTATTAGAGGTGTCGTCTGAAATAAACGTGACAACACGCAGGCAAGGAGAGGATAAGTAAGTACTGGGCGAGCAGTTTATACAGCGCACTAGCGATTTACAGAGCCTTAAAGCATCAATCAGTCGCCGGCGAAGTTTCAGCAGCCAGGGTGAGCTTCCTATGGAAGGCAAGGGGTTCTAAACAGGGAAAGAGCCTCACTTTCCCAACCCCGCTGGCGGAGAAGACGGGTGCCGCTCACACACGCGTGTTTTGGGACGCGGACTTTTGCGGTTGCTAACAGCTCGTCTTTGAAAGAAGAATGGAGTTTTAAGTGTTCGCCCGAATACTGCTTCTGTCCCGACTCTGTCAAACGCGTTGAAAGTTTCATTCTGGATCGCTTCTTTGTGTCACCCGAGGCGAGGGCAGCCCTCGTGGACCGAGGCTATTTCTGTTCTTTCTCCCCATTTCTCAAAACCATTTCCAACCCCACCGAACCCCGCCCGCTTGTTCTCATGTGGCAAATCCTCCCTTCTGTGCGTGCGATAAGGGATCGGCCTCCGAATGGAATCATCCTCAGGGGAAGCGCGCCCACGTCCCGCAGTTATTAGCATCTACAAAAGCCCGGCGGAACGACGCCGGTGGCCGCGCGGTCTGCCCGGAGCGCAGGGCGGGAAAGCGGAGCGAACGGGGAGGAGGCTCCCGGCACTTAAAACAAGAAGGCAGGTAGTCAAGAAAGGGATCGCCCCCCCCCGCGCTCCCCCCCCCGGCCGAGCCAAGAGGGAAGGGCCCCAAAGTTAAGCGGAGCCAGGGTCCCGCGGCCTCAGGGGGGCGCCAAGCTTCAAGGTGGGTCCGGAGGCATCCTAGGTCTGGTTCCCTTCCCCAGCGCTTCTCCCGACTGGGAAGGAGAGATGCCGGAGGGAATTGGACACGCTCCGGCAGCAGCGCCCCGACCCGCACCTGCGTGACACCCGGCCCACGGCAGCTCTTTGGGCTGGTCCAGAAAGAGCCCCGCGCGGCGGGGTACCCTGACCGCCTGCAGTGGTGGGCGCGGGTGGGGAGGGGGAGAAATCCATCAGTCAAAGGAAAATGGGCAGAAGCCGGCCGTGAGTTACATAGACAAAAACGGGGGGGGGGGCAGTGATGGTCTTTCTCTTTGGGTCCGAGGGTCTGGCAGCAGCGGCAGATGGGACCTAAAGTGTCCCGAGAGTCAGGCTTTCGGTAGCAGCGCCGAACGAAACTGACTTCCAACTTCCTAGGTTGCATTTCGCGGCGCTGTCGCCGATGCCCCCTCCCTCCCTCCCTCCCTCCCCCCCCCGCTCCCCGCCCTTTAGTTAGGAGATGCTGTCTATTGCGGGCGTGTATGGGGTGAAGCCGAAGCAAAGCAAGCTACCGTAGGTGCAGCCGAGTCAGGCGCAGGCTTCAGCCCTCCGAGAGGAAACCCCTGCAAACCTGCTTCCAGGTGTTTCCGCGCGCAGGTTTTTTTTTTTCCCCTGCAGGGCGCGCGCGCGCTCTTAGGCAGGTAGAAGCCGCGCGTCCACCCCCCCCCCGGGTTGAGGCGCGCTCCTCTCCCTCCCCTCCCCTCCCCCCCCCAAGGCGTGAGAAAATCGGTCAGCTTTTGGGATAGTTCAGAAACAGGAGAGAGGGATGGAGGGAATAGGGAGGGAGGCCAACCTGAACTGGCAGAAGAGAGGGGAACTGGATAAAGGGAAGATCGCCGTCGGGCTCAGAAGCCAGGAAAACCTGGGTTTCGCCTAGAGGAGGCAGCTGGAGGTCAAGACCGGCTCCCGTTGCGGGGCGAGGAAGCGGAGGACTGATAAGAAACCGACCACCGTCTTTAGGGACCCAGAGAGGATTGCTCTCTCGCGAAAGCCTTTCTTTCCTGCCGAGAGAAAGAGAAGGCAAAGCCCCTTTCGACAGCTCCGGGATCGTTTATTATTATGGCTTCGGGGGCAGGGCGGGAGGAGAAGGCGAACAGGTGATCGGGGCGCGATCCTTTATCCGGCTTGCACCCGCGCCCCCACGCCAAACCATTAACTTCTTTCCCTTCCCACCCCCACCCCACCCGGGCTGGACTACTCCCTCCTTTGGAGAACACGCCCCAGTATGCTGAAGGAGAGAGAAAAGCGTGAGAGACACTAAGGCTGAACCTGCGGGGAAATTCGAGTTGCTGCCGCCGCCGCCGCCGCCGCCGCCGCGAAAGGCAGAGGAGACGGGAGACTTTTACATCTTTCCCAGCGCGCGCGTGAGCGAGCGAGCGAGCGAGCGAGCTTCCCAGGACTGCGTGTGACAGGCATACAAATCCGGGATCGAGAGGGAGCGAAGAGAGAGACCCAGTGGAGGGCGATGGTGATTGCCTCTTGGGATTTACAAACACACACCGCTCGCTCCGGGTGGCTCCGAGCGCAGGAGGGCTGGACTGTTTTGTCTGAGCTACTTTGACCTGGCGTTGCACTGTCTGAGGCACCGAGAAACCCACCAGGGCGCAGAGTGCGTGCCGGGGGGGGGGGCAGGCATTATTATCATTATCATTGTTATTTCAAACATACTTTTTTTTTTTTAACAAAAAAGACATTAACTTTCGCATGTTGATCTGAAAGCCAACGACGATCGAGGAATATGAACAGGAAAACCAGGCGCTGGATATTCCACATCTTTCTGAGCCTAGGGATTGTCTATATCAAAATAGGGTAAGTCTCTCTCTCTCTCTCTCTCTTCTCTCTTCTCTCTCTCCACCCCACCCCCCATTTTTTAAAGGCAAACACGCTGCGGTGGCTCAACCTGTCCAGACCTGTGCTAGCATTTAACTCCGGGGGAAGTCTGAAAGGGTTCTTCTCTCTCCTTTTCTCTCGCTCGCTCCCTCGCTCGCTCCAGGGTGAGGCGACTATTTCTGCTGCTCTTGTCCCCAGCGAAATTCTAAATGTGCGTCAGCTCTGGGGAAAGGCAAAAGTCCTCGCCTGGCCAGACGAGAGGCATGGCCAGAATGGCAATGAGAGCCAGGCGAGGAAAACAGGCGATTTAGGGCAGGGTCCGCAGACCCCTGGTCCTTTCCACCCTTTTCTTGGTGACATCGCCTGGCCAAATGGGGGGCCTGGGCCGAGGTACCTGCTTTTGGTACCCAGAAAAGGAACCGGGCAGCGCTCTGCGCCTGGCCAGGGACTCCAGGTTGTCTCACGCGCCGCGGCTAAGTTTCAGAGCTGAACCCGCATCCCAGAGCCGACCTTTTTCTGCGCGAAGAGCGCTCAGCTGAAACCTGCGAAGATTCGGCGGGCTTATTCAGCGCTTTTCCGGCGAGCTGAAATTGTGCGGGATCTCGGCCCGACTTTGATTCTTTTGGCCACCGGCGGCGGCGGGCCGTGCAGTTCCACCTCGCCGCGGTTCCAACTGCGTGCAATAAAAGTAACCTGGTTACCTGTAACCAGCTCCCAGTCATTTCAGAGAGTCTCTTTCCTAACTTCGCCGCGCTCGGGTTACTTGCGTTCTTTCCCGTTCCAAGAGCCCGCCTACGAAGTGCCGGGAAAAGAAGTAGCCCGCCGAAGGAGTTGGCGGCCAGGGTTAGGGTAGAGCCTCCCCTCCTCCTTTGGGACCGTCAGTCCAAGTCCTGTTGGGAAAGCGAAGGGGCGCCTACTCGCCCCGCCTGCCCGGGCTTGGGATCATCCCTAGCGCCGACTTCGTGAGGTGGGACTGCCAGGTGCGTGGGAGGAGGCCTTCGGCTCGCAGGGCTGCTGCTGGTGGTGGTGGTACTTTCGAGGAAGAAGGCTGTGGAATTCCGATGTTTTTGGAAGTGGGTCAAAGGCAGGACCCTGAGCTCCCCCCCCCTGAAACTGCCCACCCGGGTTGCTAGTTGCCTTAAATAGAAAGAGAAACCCGGAGGATGGCTACCCATTGGCACCTCGCTCTTCCTCTCCCTTTCTCACCGACCCAACCCCGTAAGCCTCCGTTTTCCCACTGGCGTCTTTCAAAGGCTCAGAGCTACCATTCCCTCCGATTCCCAGTCGCCATTCGTTGCATCTGGAGGGCCCCCAGTTGGGGAAGTCTGGAATAAGAGAGCCCCCCCTCCCCCCCACACCCCCCCCGCACGAGGAGATTGGGAGAGAGAAGGGAGGCGAGGCTCTCCTCGCTGTTAAATTGATCCAGCTTCTTTTTTTCCCGCGCCGTTAGTCCGGAGGGGATAACGGACGCCGGCAGCCGAGTCGCACTGGGCTGGCGCTCTTGGCCGCGGGGCCGGTGGGGCAAAATGATGCTTCTGGCCCTGCTCGAGTACGTGCCTGCCGGGTGACTTTAGGAGCACTTGTTCCTGAGGAGGCCGGAGAACAAAGGGGGAAGGGCGGGCTGCCCGGTTCAATGCCCCTTACCTATTTCTGCGAGGGTGGGAGTGGGGGCTGGTTAGAAATCCCCCCCGCCGCCCTTTCCCCACCCGTGGGCTTGCTGAAAGCTGGCTCTCTACTAGACAATCGGTGGAATAAGCGGCTGTCGAGTCTTGATGGGCAAATGAGGCGCTCGGAGGGCTTAAGCGGCATCTGGGCGGGCTTTGATGTTGAGGAACCTGCCAGTTCGTACCGAGGGGCGCCTCAAAAGAAGAGCCTTTTAGAGAATCGATTGATCCCGACTCGGATGAGATGATTCATTATCGCTCTTCTCCCTCTCCCCCCCTCTCCCTCCCCTCTCTCCCCTTCTCCTTCTCTTCTTAGGGGTCTTTCTTCGGTCGTGGCTTTGGGAGCCAGTATCATCTGTAACAAAATCCCGGGGTTGGCTCCAAGACAGAGGGCTATCTGTCAGAGCAGACCCGATGCCATCATCGTGATCGGGGAAGGCTCCCAAATGGGAATCAACGAGTGTCAATTTCAATTCCGCAATGGACGGTGGAACTGCTCCGCTCTGGGAGAGAGGACCGTCTTTGGAAAAGAGCTGAAAGTGGGTATGTTACCTCCTTCCTATAAACTGTTGCAGGGGTGAGCCTGAAATCCAGCCAAAGAAGATTCATTAGCTAGGGCAATAATGGAGCAGGTCCAACTGTTCAGGGAAGTTATTTCCAGCGGTGTTTCTGAAGCCTGGCTTAAAGCTTGCTTTTCTTTGCAAAGGTATACCAAGCTTCCCTTTTAAAAAAAGTTTTCCCAACTTGAAAACTTTAAAGAAGTTCTTAAGAGTCCACCCTACAGCCATGCCTCACTGGAATCAACATGACTTGTGTCCAAACTGTAAGTTTGGAAGTATGGAACTCTAAATGGGTGGCTCTCCAGGGTATGGAACTCTAAATGGGTGGCTCTCCAGATGCTGCTGGATCTTTCACTTAACCATTCTGACTGGGAACGTCACAAATGATAGAGCAACATCTGGAGGACTGTAGGTTCCTCACTCTCAAGACAAGGGAATAGATCTCCCTGACCCTTGGTATCTCTGAATAAATACGATTAGGATTGAAATGATGCTAGTAACATGTCTTTGGCTCAGGCTTGCACTTTTTTTGTCAATGTAGCCATGGTGCTCTTAGAAAGCCATTAAACTGTCATAGACAAAATTCAAGCAGTCCATGCTTTACAATCACATCACCAAGCAATTTCTAATAATGCTGAAAGAAACAGAAGTTCTCTGTGTGAAAATGCCTTGTAAACTTTGCACTCTCACACAGAATTTGTGTGAGACATATAAGCATCCTTCCAGCTAATGGACACTTCAAATTTGCATTTCAGAATCATAAAATGTGTGTGAGGGGAAAGGGTGTTAACATCATGTGTGAAAATAATCTGAAAGTCTTGGTCAACTAAACTAGATAGTCTTTTTTTTAAAAAAATACTCTTTAATTAATAGAATCAGATTGTAATGAAATGGTAGATGATAGTATTGATATTTAATTAACTTGTCTGTTATACAGTGGTTTAATTGTTGATACATCATTTAAGGACAGTCCTGCACATCTGAAAATATTGCTTTACTTTTTCTCTTTTCTAAAAGATGGCATATTCTTCTTGTTCTTTGACTTGAAAGTCTTTGAAATTGGTATCTGCCAGTCGTGTCCAAGAAACTTTTCATTCAATGATGCTAATTCCTGAACCATGTCAGCAACCTGGGTCCATCAGTAGGAACTAATGAGAGCTAGTTGTGTTCCATGCTGAATGACGAATGGTTATGTTTGCAAATGTCAAAATTTTATTTGAAATCCAATTCAGCAAAAGATATTCTGGAAGTTTCCAAATTAGTTTACATTTGAATAAATAGGAAGGTCCCAAATATAGGTGAAAATTGAAGTTTGAGGACCAGTATGTGATGTGTCATCAATAAAAACCAATAGTTTTACTGTATAGTCTTCTATATGAAATAGTCAAGCTCTTTCCAAAACTAAGTGCACTTTTTTGTATTCAGTCATGAACTAGTTTGGGATACATAACATATTTTCTTAAATGGATGTTTTTTGAATATATTTGACTATTAGGCTGTAAAGTCCCATGATTTCCAGCTAACAAATGGATAAAATATAGGGGCCATGCATAATGGGAAGGTATTTGACAGGTACCATGTCAGGGAAGGTGAGCTTAAATATACTATATAGTGCTTGTACCAGTAGTTATGATATATTTGGGTTTTTTCATTATTGCACAATGAAAATTTAACTATAGAAAGTAAATGGATATGCTAGTGTGGCTATCTTTGTAGAAGTATTGCTCTCTGTATTGGCTTGAGTCTTGAGTTACACTGAAATGCAGCTACAGGTTGTCCTTGACAGGTTATCTAGTTTAATGAAGAGAAGGATGAGGGGGGACATGATAGCAGTGTTCCCATATCTCAGGGGCTGCCACAAAGAAGAGGGAGTCAAGCTATTTTCCAAGGTGCCTGAAGGCAGGACAAGAAGCAACAGGTGGAAACTAATCAAGGAGAGAAGCAACCTAGAATAAGAAGAAACTTCCTGACAGTTAGAACAATTAACCAGTGGAACAACCTGCCTCCAGAAGTGGTGAATGCACCCAAAATTGGAAGTTTTTAAGAAGAGACTAGGCAGCCATTTGTTTGAAATGGTATAGGGTTTCCTGCCTGAGCAGAGGGTTGGACTAGATGACCTTCAAGGTCCCTTCCAACTTTATTATTACTATTATTATTATTATTATTTGTGGTGGTCTCCCATGGAGAATGAGACACGCACACAGGTATCTCGGGATGGGAGCCCAGAGCTGACTCTTGCACCCTATTTTATTGTTACTAAGGTTTTTACATCACACAGCGTAAGCAAAAGACGTATATAGGGGTGGTTACAATGTATCAAATAACAGACACTTTCCAGATGCAAGGCTACTGCAGGTGTTCTTATCAGAGTCTGTCCAAATGGTTGATGAATGCAACCTGTGTCTAGAGCGGTCCATTTGTTATCTCAAGGACCTTGTGGGAGATGTCTATGGGCAGATACCCATGGACATATTTGTGCAATTAATCCCACATCTCCTCCTTTTCTGTTTTTTCAATGTTACTCACTTCCAGTTCCAGAAGGGATCTTGATTCACTTATTAAGGCGTCCTTCCTAGTGGAGGGCGTAACATTTTTGCACATTTGCAGGAGGGAGGGAATACCTTGAATGCAACAACATAGCAATACAAATAATATTAAAATGGTTACTATAATAGAAATCAAAGATCGTAGCCAGGATCCATCCAGTAGCCAGGACCAAAGGGCACCCCAGATATCTACGGTGCCTGATCCATCGCTGTGTAAGGGATTATTTTGGAGCATAGATTCCATTTTCTTTGCTGTAGCAGAAATATTAGGTTGAAAATCATGTATATACATACAACAATGAGAATGAATTAAAGCACACACACCGCCTTTTGCTGCTAAAATAATATCTAAAGCATACCGATTTTGCAAAACTATTTCCCTTATTTCACCCATTTCTTGATTAATCATTTTAATGCTGTTGATTGTTTGATTAAACATATGAACAGTCCAATTGTTAAGCAAATGAAGGTCCCTATAGTTCATGGCAACTCCTAGATTGGGTAGAATCCCTCTGCTGATTTGAGTCTCTAAACTACCACCCAATGTTAGGGGTGGATCTGAGGAGCCAGTATCACGTTTGTTCCGCAGGCGTCCATCAGGGAGATGAGGCAAGGCATATACAGCAGGAGTCAAAAAGCCCAGTGTACGGGTGCCTTTCCAATCCTTAGGCACCTGGCGATAGGCTCTACGGCCACATAGTAGCCACATATCGGGTAACTCATAATAATCCTGGTGAGACTCATTAGCAAATGTTATTATGGATTCCATGTCAAGGCAAGCCATGTAGGTACTGATGTTTGTCCATTGATTGCTTTAATAAGTGTCATTTATCTTAGTAAGGTTGCTTTTGATGGATATGCATTTCTTTGCTGAATTCCATATAATAACTTGTTGACAATTACTATAAGTTCCCAAATAAATGGCAGTACGGAATAGTCCTGTGCTATAAAAACAAAATCTGGCAGGTTCCATTATACGAGCGCCCACAGCATATGTCATATGCAATGTCTCTGTAGTTATGCTTCACAGCTGCTTCCATCCTGTTTCATTGAACAGAATGGCATGGAAAATAAGGCCACCATGACTATCACCAGGAATTTGCATGCAGATCCAACAGTTCGTGACGTTAAGTGTAAGAGAAGTGCGCCTGGCATCCCGTACAAAAGCATTAAAAGCCCACAGTCCCTGATCCTCATATGCCTGTCTGAGGTGGTGTACGTTGAGCCATATAAGGACGAACACAATGATCTGGAGTCCAAATGATCTCGCCATGGTCGTCTATTGCAGCATAGCCTCGACCCCAGGTAATGAGGGAGGCAGGCCCTTTCCAGGTGGGATCAGGCAAACCTCGATAGTATACCTGGGGGCGTGAAGAATCTGTGGGAGAAGCAGAAAAATGCCTGCTTGCGGCAGTTGAGCCAGGGGTGCCAGAAACATTCAAAAAGTTTAAGGTAAAAAGTACAAGATTAAGAGTGTTTTGTATCCCAGGCAAGCCGGGGGTATTTCCCCTTTCTTTTTTGCATGCATGTCTAGAGCCTTTTTAATGGTCTGATTGGCTCGTTCCACGATCGCTTGACCAGTGGAGTTATATGGAATGCCAAATTTATGAACAATAGACCAGCGAGAGCAAAACTGCGCAAAGGAGGTGCTGGTATAAGCAGGAGCGTTATCAGTCTTAATTTCTTTTGGATTGCCTAGGTAGAAAAAGTACGAATACAATACATGTTTAGCAGACTCACCCCTTTGAGGGGTGGCCATAATAAAACCTGAATAGGTGTCAATGGAAACATGCAAATATTTCCAGGGGGCAAATGGCAAATATTGTGTAAATCCATTTGCCAAAGTTGACAGCTCTGCGTCCCTCTTGGGTTGACCCCTTGAGGAACAGAGTGTGCTTGGAGGCTGCAGGTGGGACATTGTTGTATGATAGCCGCAGCTTCCATAGCCGTTAAAGAAAATTGTTTCATTAAAGCCTTCTTATTTTGATGAAAATATGAATGGCTGTCCCATGGGATTATGGGAAATAAAACAAGGACAGAAACGTCCTGGTGAGTGGAGGCGGCCGAAGCGGCAGCATCCGCCTTGGCATTGCCTTCGGAGATAATACCAGGGAAAGGTTGGTGACTTCTAATATGAGCAGGAAAAAAACAAGTAGAGCGGGAATGAAGAAGGGATTGAAGTGTGAGAAATAGACTGAGGAGAGAGTCATCCAGTGAGGGTGACACATATGAATCAGATAAAGAGGTGAGAACTTTATATACATAAAGACTATCTAAAATAAGATTAAAAGGTTCAGAAGAAAAAGTTTGTAAGGCCAGAATTGTAGCGGCAAGTTCAGCACGCTGAGCAGAAGTTTGAGGAGGAGTAATTTTTGTGTGCCATTGTTCACCCTCCTTCCATACACATGAACCATAAGTCTTGCTGCCATCAACATAC